GGTGCTGTGTGGGCTGGTGTGTGGGTGCTGTGTGCTGGCTGGTGTTGTGGGTGCTGTGTGCTGGCTGGTGTTGTGGGTGCTGTGTGGCTGGTGTGGTGTTGTGCTGGCTGGTGTTGTGGGTGCTGTGTGCTGGCTGGTGTTGTGGGTGCTGTGTGCTGGCTGGTGTGTGTGGGTGTGTTGTGGGTGTGTGGTGTTGTGGGTGCTGTGTGCTGGCTGTGTGTGGGTGCTGTGTGCTGGCTGGTGTGTGGGTGTGTGGTGTTGTGGCTGGTGTTGGGGTGCTGTGTGCTGGCTGGTGTTGTGGGTGCTGTGTGCTGGCTGGTGTTGTGGGTGCTGTGTGCTGGCTGGTGTTGTGGGTGCTGTGTGCTGGCTGGTGTTGTGGGTGCTGTGTGCTGGCTGTGTGTGGGTGTGTGTGGGCTGGTGTGTGTGCTGTGTGCTGGCTGGTGTTGTGGGTGCTGTGTGCTGGCTGGTGTTGTGGGTGCTGTGTGCTGGCTGGTGTTGTGGGTGTGTGTGTTGTGGCTGGTGTTGTTGTGGGTGCTGTGTGCTGGCTGGTGTTGTGGGTGGTGTGCTGGCTGTGTTGTGGGTGCTGTGTGTGTGTGTGTGGGTGTGGGTGTGTGTGCTGGCTGTGGGTGTGTGTGGCTGGTGTTGTGTGCTGGCTGGTGTTGTGGGTGCTGTGTGTTGGCTGGTGTGTGTTGTGTGGCTGGTGTTGTGGGTGCTGTGTGCTGGCTGGTGTTGTGGGTGCTGTGTGCTGGCTGGTGTTGTGGGTGCTGTGTGCTGGCTGGTGTTGTGGGTGCTGTGTGCTGGCTGGTGTTGTGGGTGCTGTGTGCTGGCTGGTGTTGTGGGTGCTGTGTGCTGGCTGGTGTTGTGGGTGCTGTGTGCTGGCTGGTGTTGTGGGTGCTGTGTGTGGGTGGCTGGTGTTGTGGGTGCTGTGTGCTGGTGTGCTGGCTGGTGTTGTGGGTGCTGTGTGCTGGCTGGTGTTGTGGGTGCTGTGTGTGGCTGGCTGTGTGTTGTGGTGTGCTGTGTGCTGGCTGGTGTTGTGGGTGCTGTGTGCTGGCTGGTGTTGTGGGTGCTGTGTGCTGGCTGGTGTTGTGGGTGCTGTGTGCTGGCTGGTGTTGTGGGTGCTGTGTGCTGGCTGGTGTGGCTGTGGTGGGTGCTGTGTGCTGGCTGGTGTTGTGGGTGCTGTGTGCTGGCTGGTGTTGTGGGTGCTGTGTGTGCTGGCTGGTGTTGTGGGTGCTGTGTGTGTGCTGGCTGGTGTTGTGGGTGCTGTGTGCTGGCTGGTGTTGTGTGTGCTGTGTGCTGGCTGGTGTTGTGCTGTGTGCTGGCTGGTGTTGTGGGTGTTGTGTGTGTGGCTGGTGTTGTGGGTGCTGTGTGCTGGCTGGTGTTGTGGGTGCTGTGTGCTGGCTGGTGTTGTGGGTGTTGTGTGCTGGCTGGTGTTGTGGGTGCTGTGTGCTGTGTGGTGTTGTGGGTGCTGTGTGCTGGCTGGTGTTGTGGGTGCTGTGTGCTGGCTGGTGTTGTGGGTGCTGTGTGCTGGCTGGTGTTGTGGGCTGGTGTGTGTGCTGGCTGGTGTTGTGGGTGTGTGTGCTGTGTGTTGGCTGGTGTGTGGGTGTGGGTGTGCTGGCTGGTGTTGTGGGTGTGTGCTGGCTGGTGTTGTGGGTGCTGTGGTGTTGGCTGTGTGTTGTGTGTGTGGCTGGTGCTGTGTGTGCTGGCTGGTGTTGTGGGTGCTGTGTGCTGGCTGGTGTTGTGGGTGTTGTGGGTGTGTGCTGGCTGGTGTTGTGGGTGTGTGTGCTGGCTGGTGTTGTGGGTGCTGTGTGTTGTGGCTGGTGTTGTGGGTGCTGTGTGCTGGCTGGTGTTGTGGGTGCTGTGTGCTGGCTGGTGTGTTGTGGGTGCTGTGTGCTGGCTGGTGTTGTGGGTGCTGTGTGTGGCTGGTGTTGTGGGTGCTGTGTGGGCTGGTGTTGTGGGTGCTGTGTGCTGGCTGGTGTTGTGGGTGCTGTGTGCTGGCTGGTGTTGTGGGTGCTGTGTGCTGGCTGGTGTTGTGGGTGCTGTGTGCTGGCTGGTGTTGTGGGTGCTGTGTGCTGGCTGGTGTTGTGGTGCTGTGTGCTGGCTGGTGTTGTGGGTGCTGTGGTGTTGTGGGTGCTGTGTGCTGGCTGGTGTTGTGGGTGCTGTGTGCTGGCTGGTGTTGTGGGTGCTGTGTGCTGGCTGGTGTTGTGGGTGCTGTGTGCTGGCTGGTGTTGTGGGTGCTGTGTGCTGGCTGGTGTTGTGGGTGCTGTGTGCTGGCTGGTGTTGTGTGGGTGGTGGTGTGTGTGCTGGGCTGGTTGTGGGTGTGTGTGCTGGCTGGTGTTGTGGGTGCTGTGTGCTGGCTGGTGTTGTGGGTGTGTGCTGGCTGGTGTGTGGGTGCTGTGTGCTGGCTGGTGTTGTGGGTGCTGTGTGCTGTGTGGGTGTGTGCTGGCTGGTGTTGTGGGTGCTGTGTGCTGGCTGGTGTTGTGCTGTGTGCTGGCTGGTGTTGTGGGTGCTGTGTGCTGGCTGGTGTTGTGGGTGCTGTGTGCTGGCTGGTGTGCTGTGGGTGGTGTGTGTGTGTGCTGGCTGGTGTTGTGGGTGCTGTGTGTGTGTTGTGCTGGTGTGGTGTTGTGGTGCTGTGTGCTGGCTGGTGTTGTGGGTGCTGTGTGGCTGGTGTTGTGGGTGCTGTGTGCTGGCTGGTGTTGTGGGTGCTGTGTGCTGGCTGGTGTTGTGGGTGCTGTGTGCTGGCTGGTGTTGTGGGTGCTGTGTGCTGGCTGGCTGTGTGTGGTGTGTGTGCTGGCTGGTGTTGTGGGTGCTGTGTGCTGGCTGGTGTTGTGGGTGCTGTGTGCTGGCTGGTGTTGTGGGTGCTGTGTGCTGGCTGGTGTTGTGGGTGCTGTGTGGCTGGTGTTGTGGGTGCTGTGTGCTGGCTGGTGTTGTGGGTGCTGTGCTGGCTGGTGTTGTGGGTGGTGTGGTGTGTGGGTGCTGTGTGTGTGTTGTGGGTGCTGTGTGCTGGCTGGTGTTGTGGGTGCTGTGTGCTGGCTGGTGTTGTGGGTGCTGTGTGCTGGCTGGTGTTGTGGGTGCTGTGTGCTGGCTGGTGTTGTGGGTGCTGTGTGCTGGCTGTGTTGTGGGTGTGTGTGCTGGCTGGTGTTGTGGGTGCTGTGTGCTGGCTGGTGTTGTGGGTGCTGTGTGCTGGTGTTGTTGTGGTGCTGTGTGCTGTGGTGTGTGGGTGTGCTGGCTGGTGTTGTGGGTGCTGTGTGCTGGCTGTGTTGTGGGTGCTGTGTGCTGGCTGGTGTTGTGGGTGCTGTGTGCTGGCTGGTGTTGTGGGTGCTGTGTGTTGGGGTGGTGTTGTGGGTGCTGTGTGTGGCTGTGGGTGCTGTGTGCTGGCTGGTGTGTGTGCTGGTGGTGGGTGCTGTGTGCTGGCTGGTGTTGTGGGTGCTGTGTGTGTGCTGGCTGGTGTTGTGGGTGCTGTGTGCTGGCTGGTGTTGTGGGTGCTGTGTGCTGGCTGGTGTTGTGGGTGCTGTGTGCTGGCTGGTGTTGTGGGTGCTGTGTGCTGGCTGGTGTTGTGGGTGCTGTGTGGCTGGCTGTGTGTGTGGCTGGGTGTGGGTGTGTGTGCTGGCTGGTGTTGTGGGTGCTGTGTGCTGGCTGGTGTTGTGGGTGCTGTGTGCTGGCTGGTGTTGTGGGTGCTGTGTGCTGGCTGGTGTTGTGGGTGCTGTGTGGCTGGTGTTGTGGGTGCTGTGTTGGCTGGTGTGTGGGTGCTGTGTGCTGGCTGGTGTTGTGGGTGTGCTGTGTGTTGTGGCTGGTGTTGTGGGGGTGCTGTGTGCTGGCTGGTGTTGTGGGTGCTGTGTGCTGGCTGGTGTTGTGGGTGTGTGTGGCTGTGTTGTGGTTGTGGGTGCTGGTGTTGTGGTGGGTGCTGTGTGCTGGCTGGTGTTGTGGGTGCTGTGTGCTGGCTGGTGTTGTGGGTGCTGTGTGTGGCTGGCTGGTGTTGTGGGTGTGTGGTGTGTGTGGGTGGTGTGCTGGTGTTGTGGGTGCTGTGTGGGTGCTGGCTGGTGTGTGTGGGTGCTGTGTGTGCTGGCTGGTGTTGTGGGTGCTGTGTGCTGGCTGGTGTTGTGGGTGCTGTGTGCTGGCTGGTGTTGTGGGCTGGCTGGTGTTGTGGGTGGTGTGTGTGTGCTGGCTGGTGTTGTGGGTGCTGTGTGCTGGCTGGTGTTGTGGGTGTGTGTGTGGTGCTGGCTGGTGTTGTGGGTGCTGTGTACTGGCTGGTGTTGTGGGTGCTGTGTGCTGGCTGGTGTTGTGTTGGCTGGTGTGTGGGTGCTGTGTGCTGTGTTGTGGGTGCTGTGTGTGGCTGGCTGGTGTTGTGGTGTGGCTGGTGTGTGGGTGCTGTGTGCTGGCTGGTGTTGTGGGTGCTGTGTACTGGCTGGTGTTGTGGGTGCTGTGTGCTGGCTGGTGTTGTGAGTTCTGTGTGCTGGCTGGTGTTGTGGGTGCTGTGTGTTGGCTGGTGTTGTGGGTGCTGTGTGTTGGCTGGTGTTGTGGGTGCTGTGTACTGGCTGGTGTTGTGGGTGCTGTGTGCTGGCTGGTGTTGTGGGTGCTGTGTGCTGGCTGGTGTTGTGGGTGCTGTGTGTGCTGGCTGGTGTTGTGGGTGCTGTGTACTGTCATAAAATGATTTTTTGTATAATGATATTTTTCATAAATAGTAACCAAAATTATAGTAATGTTAATAACTATAATAGTTAAAAAATAGAAGAAAAGAATAAGAAAACTCCTACCCCCCTAAAAAAAGCAACAGAACGGGAGGAACTTTTTAATTCATCATTTCAAAATACAGTAAAATTTCAAATGTTTGGAAATAAATGGTGCGTGATTGTGGAAAATGAAAACGGTGGAAGAACCACAAACCTAGTTCTCCATGGACATGCTTCCTGCAAAGTAATTATGAGGCTAATTTAGAAGCTTAGTTATCTCTAATAGTGTCATTTAGTCACTAAACACCAACATTGCTTCAGGAAATATATCTGTCAGTGTGTCACACAGTGACACAGAGAAGAGTCACAGTGGCGAGTGGTCCTATCCAGCATGTCACAGTGACACAGAGAAGAGTCACAGTGGCGAGTGGTCTTATCCAGCATGTCACAGTGACACAGAGAAGAGTCACAGTGGCGAGTGGTCCTATCCAGCATGTCACAGTGACACAGAGAAGAGTCACAGTGGCGAGTGGTCCTATCCAGCATGATGTCACAGTGACACAGAGAAGAGTCACAGTGGCGGGTGGTCTTATCCAGCATGATGTCACAGTGACACAGAGAAGAGTCACAGTGGCGGGTGGTCTTATCCAGCATGATGTCACAGTGACACAGAGAAGAGTCACAGTGACGGGTGGTCTTATCCAGCATGATATCACAGTGACACAGAGAATGCCACAGTGGCGGGTGGTCTTATCCAGCATGTCACAGTGACACAGAGAAGAGTCACAGTGGCGAGTGGTCCTATCCAGCATGTCACAGTGACACAGAGAAGAGTCACAGTGGCGAGTGGTCCTATCCAGCATGTCACAGTGACACAGAGAAGAGTCACAGTGGCGGGTGGTCTTATCCAGCATGATGTCACAGTGACACAGAGAAGCCACAGTGGCACGGGTGGTCTTATCCAGCATGATGTCACAGTGACACAGAGAAGAGTCACAGTGACGGGTGGTCTTATCCAGCGTGATGTCACAGTATATTCACCAACTAAGAAGTCGTATGCTTTAACATATGTAACTTCATATTAACATTTGGCTGTCGTAGGATATTCATATCGATGTGTTTAAATTGTTTGTGTATATATGATAATAAAGTAACGGCACAGAGAGTATTGAAGAAGTTTCCAAGAAGCTTTAGATAATGGAAAAAAAAGAGACTCGGTCCTATCTGCCACAATATCAAAGAACTGCGAGCTTTTCTCCCCGGCCGGCCATAACTGGCTCCGACGGAGGAAAACGCTCTGTCTGAAAAGGTTTGAGAGGCGGGAGTGTGAGGTATCGCTGCGATCTGGGATAATCTTTGCCGGTGGTATGCTGGAGCGTCTCGGAAGACACAGCTGACGGCTTCCAAGCGTTATTTCCCCCCTCGTAACCCAGTGTCCCGAGCACAAGTGGAAGGCAGGAAGACGGGACGTTCGTCTTGGAGACCTTCATAGTGTTCGAGACCCAAGCCTGTCAAGATAATTATAACCATAGAAGGATTTAATAGGCCTGCCCTTCTCAGTCACATATAAGTAATATTAGGATCCAAACATATATAAATTTAATGAGGAAATTGTAGCTGTTGTCACCATCTTATCAATGGTGCCAGGAAGAGCCAGGGTGCCAGGGAGTCAGGGAGAGCGAGGGTGCCAGAGCGTCAGGGAGAGCGAGGGTGCCAGGGCGTCAGGGAGAGCCATATATTATATATATATATAATATGTGACGGTAACACGTTGGTGTTCGGCTGTTCAAAAGCTAGGGGTATGGCCTCGTCACAAATAGAAAAAAATAGAAAATCTGGAACTTCGTCTGTGGTAAGGTAAGGAGAAGACACAAAACACAAGTAAATTTTAACAATGAAATTTTAATTACGTTAAAGAAAGCAAAACATGAATAAAAGGGACATACAAATTCGTATAATAAAATCAATCAAAATAATAAGAATAATCAAATGACAAAATGAAAAGTTACGTTAAGACAAATGAACAAGTAACAAGTATATGATAAATAAAGTAAGTAGGTGCCGGAATATTGGCTTCAAGCTATCACTTCTCTTAGTACACGTAAGCCTGGGGCTTAGTCTACCAACGAGACGTGTTAACCTGTCGAAAGCACGGGATATTCTGAAGACTGAGGTCGTGGCGGCCCCAGACATCAAGTAGTATGGTGGGTAGAGTGCAGTTGCAGCTGGACCGGCCGCCAATCAGCGATGAGCCGGCGACAAGACAGGTAGTTTGGCGGTTTGAGGTGGAGCAGGTGTTCCTGGCTGCATACGTTTTGCGCTCTGGCAAACCTTGCTGGTGTTGTCGTTGTTGGATTTTTTTTCCATACTTGTTTTATATAGATGTTTATATCGACGTCTTTTGGAGGGAAGAGCAGGCTCAATCTCTTGAAGGAGATTATCATCACAACTCTCCCCCAAAGCCTGCGGTTCTGGAAGAAGTACGTCGTTATGTGGTGGAGTAATAGATGGAGTCGCTTCTACTTCATAAACTCTGGAGAGGGCATCGGCTATGGTGTTGTCAGAACCCTTGATATAGCAGATCTCCAGGTTGAAATCTTGTAAATACAAAGCCCATCGTAGAAGACGCTGGTTGGTGAATTGGGCTTGATGTAGGAAGCGGAGAGGGTTGTGGTCTGAGAAGATGGTTGTAGACCTGGCGCCTTGTAGGTACGGAGCGAAGTGTTGGAGGTTCATGACGATGGATAGTAGCTCCTTTTCAATAGTGCTGTAGTTCCTCTGGTGTGGTTTCAATTTGTAGCTGTAGTAGCTGACAGGTAGAACCTCCTCGCCTCGGTGTTGCATCAGGACACCACCAACGCCGGTACCACTGGCGTCGACATGAAGGACGAAAGGCTTGGTGATATCTGGAGAGGCGAGAATGGGATTAGAACAGAGGAGGAATTTGAGTTGTTCGAAAGCAACGGTTTGCTGCATGGTCCAATTATACCGTTGCTTGGGACTGGTTAATAGAATTAGAGGTGTGGCGACTGTACTGAAATTCCACACAAACCTACGGTAGTAGGAGGCAAGACCAAGGAAGCGCAGGAGCTGCTTCCTGGTGGTAGGCTGTGGATACTGTTGGATGGCTTGAGTGTGTGTGTCTAACGGAGCTAGGCTGCCACTCCCAATAACATGACCCAGATAACGCACTTTACCTTTCGAGAAGGTGGACTTGCCCAGGTTGATGGTGAGGCCGGCTGTCAGGAGCTTGGAGAACAGACGTCGCAGCTGGAGCAGATGTTCACTCCAGGTGTTGGATGCTACGACGATATCGTCCAGGTAGGCGTATGTGTTATCCAAGCCCTGGATGACACGGTTGACAGCTCTCTGAAAGGTGGCCGGGGCATTACATAGTCCGAAAGGAAGGCGTTCATATCTGAAAAGTCCAAAAGGAGTGATGAAGGCAGATATCTCTTTAGCTCGCTCCGTTAGACACACTTGATAGTACCCCTTAAGCAAGTCCACTTGGGACAAGTACTGGGCACTACCAATGGCGTCAAGGATGTCATCTATCCTAGGCAAGGGGTAAGCATCATTGACAGTTACATTGTTGAGTTTTCGATAGTCAGTACATAACCGCACCTTACCTTGGGGTTTGGGCACCAAGATACAAGGTGAGGCCCAGGGGGACTCACAAGGTGTAGCCAGTCCATGATCCAAGAGGTACTGCACCTCAGCACGCATGACTTCCTTCTTGCTCGGGCTGATTCGGTAGAAGGGTTGACGAATCGGCCGGGTGTCGGGGAGCAGTTGGATGTCGTGCTGGGTAACATTACACTCTTGGGGGTCATCTCGGAACAACAACTGATGTTCTCTGAAGATCTTGACAAGAGGTGCACTGTGATTATCCTGAAAGTATTTGGGAAGATCATTAAGGATTTCGGAATTAGAAAGCGCTGACTCCTTGTCAGTGCTTTCGGGAGGAGAAGCTGGGAAGGTCTCACTGTGGATGTAGGGTTCTGTGAAGGTAGAATAATTTATTAGGACAGTGGGAGGAGTACCATTATATTGCTTCAGGAGGTTGACGTGGCACAGCTGGGTCTTCCGCCGCCTATCTGGAGTCTCTATGACGTAGTTGTTGTTATTTCTGCACTCTTTGACGCGGTAGGGTCCTGAAAACCTGTTTTGTAAAGGTGAACCTGGGATAGGGAAGTATGCTAGGACGAAGTCTCCCGGCTTAAATTTTCTTACTTTGCTGGTCTGGTCGTAATGAGTCTTCATCCTCTCTTGGGCTTTCAATAGATTATCATGGGCAAAACGGTGGACACTCTCTAGAATGTGTTGAAGGTTTTGAAGAAACTGGGGCACATTCTGATGCTCACTGAAGGTGGCATCTCGGAGAGAGTCTTTGAAAGCCTTAAGGGGAGTACGGCACTTACGGCCGTAGAGCATCTCATAAGGAGAAACTCCTAGGGACTCATTGCGAAGACTTCTGTAAATACACATTATAAGGTCGATTTGCTTATCCCAATCCTTAGAGGTTTCACTACAAAACTTTTTCAAGAGTGCTTTGATAGTCTGATGACTACGTTCAAGAGAACCCTGTGAAGCAGGATGATAGGGGCTGGACAATACCTGTTTGATGTTGAACTCCTCCAGTGTCCTTTTGAAGAGATCACTGGTGAAGTTGGTACCACAGTTGCTCTGAATCTCCCTGGGAAATCCGTATTGAGTGAAGATCTTCAATAGATGTTTTACAACCGTAGCAGCCGTGATGTTCTTCACTGGAACTGCTATGGGAAATCTGGTGGTAGGACACAGGATGGTTAAGATATAGGCGTTACCTGAACTGGTCCGAGGTAAAGGACCAACACAGTCTATTATGAGTCTGTGGAAAGGTTCCGCAGGCACCTGTATGGGAATCAGTGGCGCTCTGGGAATGGAGATGTTCGGTTTGCCTGCCATCTGACATGTATGACACTGTTTTACGTACTGTTTGACGCTATTTACCATACCTGGCCAGTAGTAGTCTTGACGAATTCCATGGTAAGTCTTGTTGAAGCCGTAGTGGGAGAGTGCTCCGTGGGCCAGGTGTAGAATAGTGGGCCGCAGGCTGGTAGGAATCACAAGTTGTTCGATGTTGGCCCAATCGTCCTCCTCCTTCAGTTTACTGGGTATATATCTGCGGTAGAGCAAGTCGTTCTCTAGGTAGAACCCAGGAATACTGTCGGGTTGAGTCTCAGCCTGGAAAAACAATGGTGTTAAAGTAAGATCTTCCCTCTGCAACTTACGGAACTCCAACTTGGTCAGATTCGGGGGTAGTTTCTGAGGGTCTTGAGGGACAGCGGTAGCAGTAGAGTCAGCTGGCTGTGGACGTGCGGCTTGTGCACGGGTGGTCACGAGAACCGGAGGAGAAACTTCATCACTCTCTTGAACCTCTGCTGGAACATACGCTAGAATAGGGTTACTTGGCACAGAGTTACACACCTGGGGTTTGTCCATGACGATCAGGTTGGTCGGTTGCAGGTCTTCTGCCAAGTCGTTGCCTAGGAGAAGTTGCACTCCCGCATGGGAAAAGGCTTTTCCCTGACGGCGACTTGGACTTCTCCGTTCACGTAGGGACAATCCAGGTGGACTCTGGCGAGAGGGTATGGAGTGGTAGCAGTGAGGTCAGTGATGAAGACAGTTTCTCCGGTGTAGACGATGTTGGGCACAGCCGACTTCAA